TTTTGTTGGGTGCAATATTGTGTTTCTGATTAATGTTTTATTACCATTAAAATGTTTGTCTTCACTTATAAATAATACGCCTTGTTAAGAAGTTTCATGAACACGTGAATGTTTATGAGCAACACATTAATAAATGTTTGAACTCATTTTTTGTTTAGTAATATTCAGAAGGTCAAAGGTCTTCAGCATCTTCAAAGGTCAAGACCTTTGACCTCCTTCACCACCTTTGACCCAAAAGCTTTGGTGAGAGGAAGTGAATTTCATCACGCTGAGTTTGTGTTGAGGAGCATTCTGGGTAATGAGGTACTCATTGAACTCCACAGTATTATTGTTAAAGTAGCATTTGGACTCACTGGCTGACTCCGTCCTGCTGGTCCTCCGTTCTGTCTCCTCGCTGTCCCACAGTGTCTCTACACTATCCTGTCCTAAACCCCTTTGCCGTCCCCAGTGTCATGGTGACTGTCCTCCGTCCCCAGTGTCATGGTGACTGTCCCCCGTCCCCAGTGTCATGGTGACTGTCCCCCGTCCCCAGTGTCATGGTGACCGTCCTAGTTGGCGTCTCACTGTATCTGTCAGCTTCTCCTTCCCTCGGTTGAATTGTAACATCTACAGCGAGATATTAATACATTTATGTATGACGTGAATGTTGGACAATACTTTTCCATAAACACAACTAAAACTATGACTTTACATTTTGTTTAGCTAAGGCTTAGAATAAACAAAGAACACTTGCTACTAGAGTTTCCCTGTTTTTTATATTATGTATATATATATATATATTAATTCAACTCTACATTGTTAATGCCATGTATGCACCACCCACCATGACAAATTCCTTGTATGTCCAACATACCCAGCAAATATATGTTTATTCATAAGTATTTACCCCCTTTACTGTAAAACTCCTCATAAAGATCTGGTCACATAATTAGCAGATAGGGTCCACCGGTCTGCTATTTAATCTCAAGATAAATGCACGTGATCTGTGAAGGCCTCAGAGTCTGTTAGAAAGGGTTACTGAACAAAGAGCATCACGAAGACCAAGGAGCTGACCCAAGTATGAAGCAGGGTTAGCTTCTAAAAAACCATTCCAAGCTTTGAACACTTATAAAATCCATCATCAACAAATGGAAAGAATATGGCACAACCACAAAGCCACCAAGAGAAGGCCGTCCACCCAAACTGACCGCAAGGAGAAGATGAATCAGAGAAGCAACCAAGAGGCTCAAACTGTGGAGGAGCTGCAAAGACACCACCCATCACCCTGAGCACACCACCCCAACGGGGAAACAGGGTGGTGGTAGCATCATGCTGTGGGGATGCTTCTCTTCAGCAGCTACAGGAAACTAGTCACTGTGAGGGGAAGATGGATAGAGACAAATACAGGGCGATCCTTGAAGAAAATATGATGCAGTCTGTAAAAGACTTGAGACTTCCAGCAGGACGATGACCCTCAACATACAGCAGCGCCACAATCAATAGTTTAGATCAAAGCATGTTCATGGTTTAAAGATTCCCAGTCAAAGAACACACCTCAATCCAATTGAGAATCTAAGGCAAGATTTGAAAACTGCTGTTCTGATGCTCTCCATCCAATCTGACTGAGCATCAAGAAGAATGGAGGAACATGTGCAAAGCTGGTGGAGACATTCCCCAAAGGACCTGCAGCTGAAGGTGCAGAGAACCTTCTACCAAGTTTTGAACGGGGACACACGCATTTATTTGTCGTTATTTGTGTCACAATATAAAGTATTTGATGCCCTCGGAGTACTTTGCATGTTGTGTTGATCAAATGGGAAAATTCTATTTTTTTTTCTAAAATTCTACGTCGTGACGTCATCGTGTGCATTCATCGGCCATCCGCTCACAGACGACGTTGACGGAGGAAGCCACATCCGGGTATGTAGCGCTGCGTCCTCTCCTCCATCTCCCGCTGCATCCTCCACCCTGCAGATAAACAGGAGGACAGACGGACAGACAGACGGACAGACAGACAGACAGCTGGATCTCTTTCGGCTTCAGGTTCGTTTTCTTCTTTCTCGTGATCGTAATTTCAGATCGGTCCGTTTCTCTTTAACTGACGACAGACAGACAGAGAGACAGACAGAGAGACAGACAGAGAGACAGACAGAGAGACGGGGAGAGAGACGGGGAGAGAGACAGGGAGCGAGACAGCAAAGAGACAGGGGCGAGAGACAGGCAGAGAGACAGGGCGAGAGACAGCAGAGAGACAGACAGAGAGACAGCAGAGAGACGGGGAGAGAGACAGCAAAGAGACAGGCAGAGAGACAGGGCGAGAGACAGCAGAGAGACAGGGCGAGAGACAGGCAGAGAGACAGGGCGAGAGACAGCAGAGAGACAGCAGAGAGACAGGGAAAGAGACAGCAGAGAGACAGGGGAAAGAGACAGCAGAGAGACAGGGCGAGAGACAGCAGAGAGACAGGGAAAGAGACAGCAGAGAGACAGGGGAAAGGCAATACAAACATGAACTAATATTTGTTAAATGTTTATTTAGTTTCTAAATAATTAACATGACAATTGTCCCTCACAACTTGTTTACTAATGACCAGACAATAATATCAATCAGAATACTATTACTGATCATATTGTAGTAGTGTATATTATTGATCATTTTGTTGTCAATAATATAAATATGATCAATGATAAGATTTATCTTCAATATCAATAATAGTGTAAATATTTTTATTGATATAATCACATCACATGTCATTTATCTGACGCTTTTATCCAAAGCAACTTACAATAAGAACATTTAACCATAAGGACACAAACTCAGAAGAACAAGAAACAAGAAAGTGTGATTTCATAAATTAAACCGATATGATATCTGTTATCTATAGCAAGTTGTATAAGTCCAATGTCAGTGCTGCAGTCAGTTAGTGTGTTAGTGGAGGTAGAGTGTGAAGAGGTGTGTCTTTAGTCTGAAGATGTGAAGGCTCTCTGTGGTCCTGATGTCTTCAGAGACCTCCTTCCACCATTTAGGAGCAGGACAGCAAAGAGTGGAGATCTAGTCGAGTGTTTTGCTCTCAGTGAGGAGGAACAAGCAGTTTATCACATGCAGAGAGGAGAGGTCAGAGGTCGGGATGTCGGGTTGGACCAGGTCCTGGATGTGAGCTGGACCCCATCCATTCACAGCATGGTACGTGAGCACCATGTTTAGAACTGGATGAGCCACCGGTACCAGTGAAGAGAGCGGAGGAGTGGAGGAGTGAGGGAGAACTTAGGAAGGTTAAAGACCAGTGGAGCTGCTGCATTCTGGATGAGCTGCAGAGGTGGAATGGTGGTAGCAGGAGACCTGCAGGAGAGAGTTACAGTAGTCCAGGAGGGAGACGACAAGAGCCTGAATCAGTACCTCCTTCTGAGTGAGAAGAGGACGTGTTCTCCTCATGTTGTAGAGCGAGTATCTACAGGATGGTGTTGTCAGTGATGTTGGAGTCAGGGAGAGTCGGCTGTCGACGTCACGCTGAGGTTCCTGCAGTCAAAGTGGACGTTAACACGGAGTCTCAAAGTTAACAGTCAGGTCCTGTGTAGGAGAATCTTTTCCCAGAAAGAGAAGTAGTTCCGTCTTGTCGGGGTTGATTTTCAGATGGTGGGCGGATCCACTGAGAGATGTCAGTCAGACAGGCAGAGATCCGAGTGAGGGAAGGAGAGGATTAGTTGGTGTCATCAGCATAGCTGTGGTAGGAGAAGCCATGCGAGCGAATGACAGCGCAGAGAGAGTTGGTGTAGAGCGAGAAGAGGAGGAGACCCAGGACGGAACCCTGAGGAACTCCAGTAGTAAGAGGACAAGGTTCCGACACAGATCCTCTCCAGGTTACTCGGTAGGTGCGTCCGTCGAGGTAGGACGAGAGAAGGGAGAGAACAGAGCCTGAGACACCAAGTTCCTGAAGGGAGGAGACAAGGGTCTGCTGGTTGACTGTGTCAAATGCAGCAGAGAGGTCCAGAAGGACGAGGACAGAGGAGAGAGAGGAGCTCTAGCAGTGTGGAGCTGCTCTGAGACAGCGAGGAGAGCAGTCTCTGTGGAACGGCCTTGAAGCCTGACTGGTGGGGGTCAAGGAGGTTGTTATGGTGGAGATAAGAGGAGAGCTGGTTAAAGATCACACGTTCAAGGGTTTTGGGCAATCAGGGAAGAAGAGAGACCGGTCTGTAGTTGTGTTCTTCAGACGGGTTGAGGGTGGGTTTCTTCAGGAGAGGGTTGACTCTTCTCCTTCAGAGAAAACATCCAGATAACAGAGCGTTGTTGATGAGACAGGTGAGGAAAGGAAGAAGGTCGGGAGTGATAGATTGTAGAAGATGTGATGGAATGGGGTCAAGAGGGCAGGTGGTTGGACGGGCAGAGGTTACTAGGGTAAGAACTTGGTTAGGAGACGGGGGTGAAGGAGGAGAGTGAGGGCGATAGAGGTGAAGCCAGTGGGACACGAGTAGGAGGAGGTGGGTTTGAGAAAGAGGAGCGTATGTCAGCTACAGTTGTGCTCATAAGTTTACATACCCTGGCAGTATTAATGATTTCTCGGCCATTTTTCAGAGAATATGAATGATAACACAAAAACCTTTCTTTCACTTATGGTTTGTGGTTGGGTGAAGCCATTTATTATCATTCAACCGTGTTTACGCCTTTTAAATCATAATGATACCAGAAACTACCCAAATTACCCTGATCAAAAGTTTGAAGAATGAGATGATCTTCTTGTTGATGACAGGATCTGGAATGACCGTTAATTGACAAGCAGGCAGGCAGGAGACAAACTAATAAGATGGAGAATTCGTGACAGAGCTGATAGAGGAGGAACAGAGGAGGCCGGAGAGGGAGAGAGGGAGGGAATGTCTCGACGGACTGTTACAGAGTTAGTTCATGGGTCGCTAGTTATAGAAAGTGGGAGATGAAGGAGTGGTGGTATTGATTATATTTGTATGAATAATAATATCAGTAATAATGTAATACTGTAAAAGTAGCCAGCTTCTCTCTCCCCCCCTCTCAGCGATGTCGGTGTCCCCGCCCCTCCCTCACACTGTCTCGTCTCTACCAGACGGAGTTTGTGAGGAGTGCCCGTGCGGGTGGGGGTTCTTAGGGCCGTGTGCTCCCTCTGCCTAGCCATCATCCAGGTAGTGGTCATGGTCCAGCCGTCCTGGGTCGGCACTAGAGAGACCCAACACCTGGGGGGGGCAGGGCCTGTCCCGGCCAGCGGCACCCTGGGACTGTTTGAGGTGAGGAATGTTCGACCCACCCATCGCTCTGGGGTTCCATCCACGATTCCTTCTATTGTTCCATCTTTGCCTCCTTGCCTCTTTGGTCCCATCTATAGTTCCCTCTACAGTTCCCGCTACGGTCCCCTCTATGGTTCCTTCTATGGGACCCTCTGTGATTCCCTCTATTGTTCCTCCTACGGTTCCCTTTCTGGTTCCTTTTGTGGGTCTGTGTTCTAAGGTGTGTGTGGAGTCCGACTGGCCGGTTCTGGACTGCCGTGGTGGTCTCTCCAGTCTGTCCCCTCTGCCGTCCTTCCAGTCGGTGGCCATGTTGGTGGGAGTGTCTGTGTGGGCGGTGTGGACCAGTGTCCTCTGTCTCTGTCTCTTCAGGTTCTGCAGCGGCGCCACGGTCTATAAGATCTGTGCCTGGCTGCAGCTTACTGCAGGTTAGTCACTGGTGCTACTGGTTCTTCGGTCCAACTGGTTCTATGGTCGCATAATGCCTGTCTGTCCATCTCATTGTGTCCCTGTCTGTCTCTCTTAGGCTTCTGTCTGGCGTTAGCTTGTCTATTGTTTCCAGACTCGTGGGAGAGTCCAGAGATGAGAGCTCTGTGTGGAGACTCTGTGAGTAATAAACATGTATTTATTTTCTATACAGATCAAGAATACATGTGTACACTCAGGTGTACGATCACATGCTGATTCATGGATCGTCTCCAGGTGGGCAGCTTCTCTCTAGGTAACTGCTCCGTCCACTGGGCCTACATCCTGGCCATCCTGGGCATTTTGGACGCCGCCATCTTGGCCACGTTGGCCTTCGTCCTTGCCAACAGACAGGATGCCCTGCTGCCTCCGGACGCCAAGGAGGGTGAGGAAACTAGCGCAGGGTTAGCTTCAGGTCCCGGTGGCCCAGGGTTAGCTTCAGGTCCCGGTGGCCCAGGGTTAGCTTCAGGTCCCGGTGGCCCAGGGTTAGCTTCAGGTCCCGTTGGCCCAGGGTTAGCTTCAGGTCCCGTTGGCCCAGGGTTAGCTTCAGGTCCCGGTGGCCCAGGGTTAGCTTCAGGTCCCGGTGGCCCAGGGTTAGCTTCAGGTCCCGGTGGCCCAGGGTTAGCTTCAGGTCCCGTTGGCCCAGGGTTAGCTTCAGGTCCCGTTGGCCCAGGGTTAGCTTCAGGTCCCGGTGGCCCAGGGTTAGCTTCAGGTCCCGGTGGCCCAGGGTTAGCTTCAGGTCCCGTTGGCCCAGGGTTAGCTTCAGGTCCCGGTGGCCCAGGGTTAGCTTCAGGTCCCGTTGGCCCAGGGTTAGCTTCAGGTCCCGTTATCTCAGAGTGAGCTTCAGGTTCTATTAGGTTGAGGGAAACCGCTGAGTTCAGTTAGCATCTACTGTAATTGGTTTTAGGATACATTAAGTTGGAGTTAACTCCATAGTAATGTTTACAAACAATTGGCTCCTGGCCCAGTTAACTTCTGAGTAGTTAACATAAAGCTTTCTGTGTAATTAGCTTTAGGTGCAATTAGATCAATTTGTTTCATGTTACCTTACAGTTACCTCTAGGTACAGATAGCTTAGCATTAGCATTGTGGGGAAGGTGGGAAGGAGCAACAGGTAAATAATAAGACTGTCTGTGTTCCTGCAGTGACCACAGGTCTGCTGATGTCGGCGTGAAGTCACCATGTGAGTCTGTCCTTCACTTTAACAGTTTTCACACCTTTCTGTGTCAAATCTTTCTCCAATTAAACAAAGATGAAACCAAAGTAATACTTTTTGCTAACAAGGATGAATGATTGAAAGTCAGCGCTGAACTTCAATGATCACTGTTGTTAAAAACCACAAACCAAGCCAGTTACCACTTCAGCCTACTATCACCTAAAGAATATACTGAGGATTAGAGGATTTATGTCTCAACCAGATGTAGAAAAACTTGTCCATGTATTTATCTTCAGTAGATCTTCAGTACTTCTAAAAAGTCAATCAGAAAGCTACAGCTCGAGTCCTCATAGGACCAGGAAAGTGGATCACATCACTCCAGTTCTCAGGTCTTTACACTGGCTTCCTGTCAGAGAGTTGACTTGAAAAACCTGCTGTTGGTTCATAAAGCACTGAATGGTTTAGGGCAGGGGTGTCCAAACTACGGCCTGCGGGCCAACTGCGGCCCGCCATCCATTTGTAATTGGCCCGCATCAAAGTCTATAAATGTAATGGACTGGTGTCGTTCTTAGTGGAACGTAATTGGGCACGAGGGCTTTAGCAGCGAGCATTTCAAGCGCTCCTCTCTGATGCTGAACACGGACCTACTTCAGCGCCCTGAGGTGCTGCAGCCGCTTTATTCCCTGACATCAAATATTGACACGTTTTCTGAAAGAAAAGGGAAGGAGATGACGGAGCCTTTATGGGGCAGACCTGGCTTTTCTAGTTGATCTCACTGATCATCTCCGCACCCTGAACAAGAGACCACGTGTGCACATGAAAGCATTCTGCCAAAGGTCCAGGCAGCGCACTGCCACGCGTCAGGCTCTCTGCTGGAACGGGTCTGTGAAAGGATCCAGGCAGCGTCACTTTCCTGTCACTGAGAAGGAAATCACGCTGAGAGAATGAGCTGCCAACCTTCTTGTTCCAAACCCAACGTAATTCTGCTAATGGAGAGCATGGATTCCTCCAGACGTGTCCACTCATCAAGCGTTTGATTGATCCTAATATTGGTGCGTTAGAAGCGAGTGGGCCAGTCCTTCAGAGACCTCTCTGTATGTGGCCTTAGACGAGGGCCAAAGTACATCTCTGATGTGCCGACCCTCAGGTCGTCTGGAGCGGCTCTACTTTCTGTTCCCTGAGTCCCTCCGCTCCTTTAAATCCAGATTAAAGGCGTTTCTGTTTGCTGCTGCCTTTAATTGACCATTTCTGTAATTTGGACATTCTTAACTACACTGCAAATTTATTCTATTTTTAGTTTTTTTGACTATATTTATCTTTTGATGACTATTTTTATTTCATGTT